GGGAGCGGCCACTACACTCCAGTCTGGGCGACAGAGTGAGACTCCAACTCAAAAACACAAAAGTTGTCTGTGTGAGTTAACGTCCCAACATTTCTATGAGGGTGAGTATTGCATTTTAGAAGAAGGGAAAGCAGAGGCACAGAGGTGAAACGAGTCCCAGTAACGTAGCTCATGGTAGAGCTGGGATTTGAACACCAGCAGTCTGCTTCCTTCTGCATCATGTTACTCTTTACTAAACGGTGAGTAAATTCGTTAACCTGCTGTCAATTTGCTTACCTGTGTTGTCTGGTGGTGTCCTCAACCTCACCTACCTCAAAGAGCGACACACAGGAGCCACACAGTTACATATGAGAAGCCCAAGCTTTAGCAAATCCCAGAAGCTAAATTTGACCACAGAAAACCAGTTGAAGAGAATGATTTTCATGTTCCAGCATGTTGACCTGACGTCAGGTTTTTTTCTTTTCACTGCAGATGACTTGCCCAGGAAAAGGTTACCTCAGCTGTATAAGCCGCCCACTCCTGAGATGCTGGCCTATCTTGATTTCAGTGTCTCCACAACTGGCATGCTTACAGGAGTGAAGGTAAAGGAGCCTGGATGTGTTCACTCACTCGCTGAATGCTGGACAAGTGCCAGCTCTGCAAAAAATAGAGATGACCACTGCCCCAGGGACTTTAGATGCAGAGGCCAAGTGGCTGTACCAGAGACCAGTAGGCGGAGGATCAAGGGTCCCTGCTATATTTAAATAAACGAATTGGCTCTTCCGGAATAAGTTATCCGAAGGAATTTGTGTGACGAAGTGTCTGGACCTAGCATGGAAGCTAACTGGTAATAAGAGTTCTGGTTAAAGTAAGTGTGAAATCCTAGGTTCACATGTCATAAAATTCAGTATTAACTAATGAACAGAAATATAGGACTTTAATTTAGACTTGGGTTAAGCTTTGAAGCTCTAAAAACTGGACATCATTCTGAGGCGTCTGGGGAGTTGAAACTTCTCAGAGCTGTCGTGAGAGCCGTCTCTCTGCCTGTGGGTGACGTTCCATCCTGTTCCATGTTCCTTGCTTTCCAGATGTCCCACTCTGCAGTCAATGCTCTTTGCAGAGCCATCAAGCTCCAGTGTGAGTTGTACTCTTCTCGGCAGATCGCCATCTGCCTTGACCCTTACTGTGGACTTGGCTTTGCACTCTGGTGTCTCTGCAGGTAGGGATGGAAAAGCCAAAGAAACAGAATTTGTGGGGTACATTTGGGGGTTATAACCATCTCATCCTTCCCTTTGTTCCCTTAATTTGGTAAAATTTCAGGAAAAGGCTGGTGGTTCCAGAACGGGTACTCCTGGTATATGTCTGATGTTGGCTTGGTTTTGTCTGTATTTCCTTTTTTTCCTGTTCGTGTTATGCCTCCTACAAATGGCAGTGATCCTATTACCTGCTCTCTGCTGCATCCTGTAATCCTTATTTTAGAAGCAGAGCCAAATAGAAGGATGATACTTGGGTGAAATATGTCATGCTTTGACAGCCGGAACATACCCCCAGGCTTGGCAGGAAGGCGAGTCATGGGATGGGATGACAGCATGAGGGTAGAAAGTAGCATGTTGCCCTGGCCAGGTTGCTCCTGTGGAGAAAAGATCCTAATTCCTTCCGCCATCAGCCCAGGGAGCCTTACCTCAGACCTGCCTTTTCATCTCCTTGGTGTACATCACGAGTGCTTCACACATGCCTGCCGCTCAGCATCCTCCTTCTGAGTCCCCACCTTTGTGAGAGTAAGGGCATCTATCTAGGAGCCTAAACTAGAAACTTGGGATCTCATTTTCCCAGGCTGTACCCCAACTCCTAGCCTCAAGTGGTCCTCCCACCTCAGCCTCTCGAGTATTAATTGCTGGGAGGGATTACAGGTGTGAGCCACTATACCCGGCCACCATCCATCCCTCCATCTCTTTACGTATCACATCTGATCAGATGTTATTGTCTTTGGCCTCAGTTGTTTGCACACCTGTCTGCGCATAAGAATCACCTGGGGGTCTTCAAAGAAAAAAAATTAATGGAACTTCCCTAGACTTTTAAACTTAGATCTCCAGAAGGGAAGACCGCAACTCCAGTATTTTTTTAATCCATCAATTTTGTGGAAACAAGTTCTCACTATGTTGCTCAGGATGGTCTTGAACTCCTGGACTCAAGCAATCCTCCTGCCTCAGCCTCCCAAAGTGCTGGGATTACAGATGTAAGCCACTACACCCGGCTGGTATTTTTTAGTACTGGATTCCTGGGCTCCTAGTATATTCTGATCTGTATTTGCATTTAGGAATTTTAGGTTCTGTGGCTAGAGACGAATATGTGACTCATCCGTTCCTTCCTATTTATCCTGGGGCTGCACTCTTGAGCTCAAGCCTTTATCATCTCTCACCCAGACTGTTGCAACCTGTCCTAACTCGACCTTGAGTGGCTTGTACCTCTCATCTCTACTCCAAGTGGCTGGTGTTGCCCCGACTTAAAGCTGCAGTGACTGCCTCTGCTGGGTTAAGTCTAAACTCCTTCCCATGATCGCTAAGCCCTTTCAGAGTTTGACCCCAGCCCTTCTGGCCTCCGCCCCCATGCACCCCGTGCTCTAGGATTTTACCTGAAGGCTGTCTCTGACAGCCTCAAACACTCCATATGTCTCTGCCTTTGCATATGCTGTTCCTCTGCCTGGAGCACTCCCACCAGCATCCCCACTTTTCCAGCCACTGTCATATTCCTACTCATTCTTGAATCGCAGCTCAAGTGTCACCTGCTCAGGGAAGCACTCCACTCACTACCTAGTGTGAATGAACTGCTCTTTATTCTGTGCTCAGTGTTCTTTATTCACAGCTCAGTTCCCGCGCCTACAGTCTGCTTTATTTTCTAGTTACTGTCTTGGAGTTGCATAGAAATGGGCTGACTCTTAGATCTTTGTATCTCATAGGCCCCCTGCTGTGCCGCTCAGTAAATATTTGTGGAATTGGGGTGCTCTAAAGTATCAGGGTGTCCAGGATGAATCAATAATGCCCATTCTTGCCTTCTTCTTTGCAGTGTCTATTCCGGTCACCAGTCCGTATTGATTCCTCCTATGGAGTTAGAAAACAACCTTTTCCTCTGGCTCGCCACCGTCAACCAATACAAAATAAGGGACACCTTCTGCTCCTATTCGGTGATGGAGCTCTGCACTAAGGGGCTTGGCAATCAGGTGGAGGTGCTCAAGGTAAGAAGCTGCTTCAGCAGGTGCTGGTCCCTAGTGGGTTTGAAGAAATGGGCCAGGGTGTGGCAAGACCGGGAGAGGGTTTGCCAGCCTTCTTCCAGCCAGTTCATTAAAATGAGTGTTTGGTAAGCCTCAGGAAGTTTCTCTCTTCCGTCTTCCTAATGTACGGCACTCCCAGCGTTGAGCTGGATTTTGAGTTGTGAAGAAGGACAAACAGAATTGACAGGCCAGCTGGAAATGACTTTATGTAAAGATAAAACAGAATTCTGACCTCAGTAGTGTTTTTCCCAACAGAATTTAAAACCTCAGAATATTAGGAATTAGAGACTGCCCCAAAGATAAGGGTGGCCCATTTGTGTGCATATCAAGTGAGCATATGTCTGATAAGCAAATACAAGAAAGTTGGAAAATACTGAATGTTTTTTGATAGAAAAATATGCCCTTAAGAATGAAAAAAAAGGAGGCCGGTCACAGTGGCTCAAACCTGTAATCCCAGCACTTTGGGAGGCCGAGGCAAGTGGATTGCCTGAGCCCAGAGGTTTGAGACCAGCCTGGGCAACTTGATGAGACCTCGTCTCTACAATAAATAAATAAATAAATTAGCTGGGCATGGTGGCATGTACCTGTAGTTCCAGCTACTTGGAAGGTTGAGACGGAAGCATCACCTGAGCCTGGCAGGTGAAGGCTGCAGTGACTGTGAGCATGCCACTGTACTCCAGCCTGGGAGACAGAGTGAAACTCTGACTCAAAAAAAAAATGAAGCCAGGCGCAATGGCTCAAGCCTATAATCCCAGCACTTTGGGAAGCTGAAGGGAGAGAATTGGCTGAGCTAAGGGGTTTGAGACTAGCCTAGGCAACTTGGTGAGACCTCAACTCTACAATAAAAATAAAAATAAAGCCGGGCTCGGTGGCTCAGCCTGTAATCCTGCACCTTGGGAGGCTGAGGTGAGTAAATTGCCTGGGCCTGCGGGTTCAAGACCCGCCTGGGCAACTTGGCGAGACCTTATCTCTACAATAAATCAAAAAAACTAGCCGGGCATGGTAGCGTGTGCCTGTAGTTCCAGCTACTTGGAAGGCTGAGGTGGAAGGATCGCCGGAGCCCAGCAGGTCGAGGCTGCAGTGGCCGGGAACAGCCACTGCACTCCAGTCTGGGCAACAGAGTGAGACTCCAACTCAAAAAAAACCACCAAAATACATAAATAAAAATAAAAATAAGCCAGGTGTGGTAGCACACACCTGTAGTTCCAGCTACATGGAAGACTGAGGTAGAAGGATCATCTTGAGCCCAGCAGGTCGATGCTATGGTGGCCATGAGCATGTCACACTGCACTCCAGCCTGGGCAACAGAGTAAGTCTCTGACTCAAAATCAAAACAAAACAAAACAGATAAAAGAGAATAGCTCCTCAGGGTTCTAGATTCGTTTTTCTCTTAGTTCCATCAAATAGGGAGACTAAGATACAGAAATGAGGAAAGATAAAAATGTACTGTTGAAGGGCCTAAGGTTTTTAATTTATTTAATTTATTTATTTATTTATTTATTTGTTTGTTTGTTTTGAGTTGGAGTCTTACTCTGTCACCCAGACTGGAGTGCAGTGGCCGGTCCCAGCCATTGCAGCCTCGACCTGCTAGGCTCCGGCGATCCTTCCGCCTCAGCCTTCCAAGTAGCTGGAACTACAGGCGCGCGCTACCACACCCAGCTAATTTTTTGATTTATTGTAGAGATGAGGTCTCACCAAGTTGCCCAGGCGGGTCTCGAACCCACGGGCTCAGGCAGTCTACTCACCTCAGCCTCCCAAGGCGTGGGATTACAGGCTGAGCCACCGAACCTGGCTAATTTATTTATTTTTGGAGTCGAAGTCTCACTCTGTCACCCAGGCTGAAGTGTAGTAGCATAATCACTGCCACTGCAGCCTTGACCTACTGGGCTCAGACAATCCTTCTGTCTCAACCTTCCAAGTAACTGGAGCCACCAGTGTGCACCACCATGCCCAGCTACTTTTTTGTTCGATTTATTGTAGAGATGAGGTCTCACCATATTGCCCAGGCTGGTCTCAAACCCCTGGGCTCAGGCAATCCTCTTGCTTCTATATGCCAACGTGCTGGAATTGTAGGTATGAGCCTCCACACGTGGCTGAACCTAAGGTTTTTAGATGAAAGAGGAAAGAAGTATAGAATGAGCAAATTTACAGCAGGGTCATGATTTTAATGGAATGCCTTGGCATTTTCTTCTTTTCTGAAAGCTGCTTTTCTCTGTGTTGGAGGTGAGAAGACACATTCCTTGTCTTACTGAGCAAGTAGCTAGAGCAAAAGCCTGCCTCTTCAGGGCTTACTGACATATCTCCTGTGCACGGATGTCTTACAGACCAGAGGGATCAACCTCTCCTGCGTCCGAACCTGCGTGGTGGTGGCAGAGGAACGGCCCCGTGTTGCACTCCAGCAGTCCTTCTCCAAGCTCTTCAAAGACATTGGACTGTCCCCGCGGGCTGTCAGCACCACTTTTGGATCAAGAGTCAATGTAGCAATATGTTTACAGGTAACTGTCATGAAATCACACATGGGAAAGGGATGTGGCATGCTTTGAGCATGGGTATCCAAGCCAGATGCCTGGGCTTGAGCCCAGCTCCACTTCTTTGCTGTAGGACTTGGGGTTTTTTTGGGGGAGAGGGGGGTTTGAGTCAGAGTCTCTCTCTGTCGTCCAGGCTGGAGTGCAGTAGCATGCTCACAGCCAAAGTCTCAGTCTGTGGGCTCAAACTATCCTTCCTCTTCAGCCTTCCAAGTAGCTGGAACTACAGGCACAAACATGCTTGGCTAACTTTTGTTATTGTAGAGATCAGATCTTGCCAAGTTGCCCAGGGTAATCTTGAACTCCTGGGCTCAGGCAGTCCTCTCACCTTGGCCTCCCAAAGTGCTGGGATTACATGCAAGAGCCACTACATCCAGTGACTTGGGGCTTTTTCTCTTGATTTCTCTGCATCTGACTCTGCTCATGAGTGAAGTAAAGGGCCTTGCACACTGCTTCCCGGATTGTTTCTGCTGAGTAGTTGGGTGGCTTGGTCCAAGCACCTGGGGAGTGTGGGCAGTCAGCAGTCAGTGCTTATTCTTTTTTTTTTCTTTTTTGAGTTGGAGTTTCACTCCGTCGCCCAGACTGAAGTGCAGTGGCCACTCTCGGCCACCGCAGCCTCGACCTGCTGGGCT